GAAGTGTTGGACGTGCAATCTTGCGTGCAGAGAAAGTGCTGCTGTGCTGCCGAGTAGAGCAGCGACACGCATCAAATACGAGGGTTGTACTGAAAGTAAGGTTCCCAGTGATCTATGGCGTCGAGGGAGGGTGCTAGGCTAAATTCGCGAACAGTGCCGTGAAAAGTGGCTTCCCCTTTCTCCAGCCCACCCGTACGTGATTCGCTACTTCACTCGGTGTTCGCTTGGCAGCCGCCAGAGATGGACGTGTTGCTCGCCACTCCCGCCAAGTGCGAGATTCGAACAGTAATCTGTTACCTCTGGTGGAGGTAAGGGATAAGGTAGTTACCTCCCGTGGAGATTTGTCGGCAACTGAGTGCGGTTTCTGTTGAAAAGTGGCCTCGCTGTGGTGGTGTAGTGGCTGAGATACGCAGCTCCTGTCCCGCAGGTCGCGGGATCAAATCCCAGCTGCTGCGGCTTCATTTTCAAGGAAGGTGGAAACTCTGTTGGCCCATGTAGTCAGATTTACGTGCACGTTAAAGAATCTTAGGTGATATATATCTGGAGCCCTCCACTATGACATTTCTCACAGTCATATGGTGGTTTTGGGACGTTAATCCCCACATCTAAATCAATCAATTATGTTGAAAGGTGCGTTTCCGTCCAACACGTCCACAAATTTTTGAAGGTCGCAACTTCTCTCCGTTACGAAGAGGCTACTTCTTGTTGTGTTTTTTTTTTTTGCAGGAAGGCAAGAAAGAGAAGTTTTTGGACTCTGTAGACACGTGAGTGGGAACATGGGTGTTCCATTACACCCCCGAAACAAAACAATAATTTCGTAAGTGGCGTCACTTTGATTCACCCTCCTCCGCCCTCCAAAAGCGACGGTGAGGCTAAAGCAGAGCTCGCACGCTTCCTCTATGGACTGGTGAGAGACTTCTTCTTTTTAGGAATAGGCGTCTTCAAACGCGCCTTCAAACGTGTCTTCAAACGTTTAAAAGTACACGAAATTGTAAGCTCTTAAATGATGTATCATATGATAACAATAAACAATGTTTATTTTGTAAAAATATGGGAACTTAACTTTTGGTACAACACCCCTAGAATGGCGTCAACTGAAAACCACTGATACCGTTGCTTTTAAGAGCTGCCAAGTAAATAAATGCCGTTATCTTGCTTCGGTATGAAACTTATATACAGTGAGCAAGAAAGACATGACTTTCAGCAAAAACAAAGTTGGCCGCAGTTGAGACATTTCAGAATAAACTCTTTTTTATATTCAGAGTTGCTGCGTCAATAAACACACATACACACACACACACACACACACACACACACACATATATATATATATATATATATATATATATATATATATATATATATATATATATATATATATATATATATATATATATATATATATATATATATATATATATAGGCAAAAAAGGGGCGACGAAACTTTCGTGGAAGCGTCTTTACTAAACGTTTTCAGCTGGTGGACCAGCCTTCGTCAGAGTCTGACGAAGGCTGGTCCACCAGCTGAAAACGTTTAGTAAAGACGCTTCCACGAAAGTTTCGTCGCCCCTTTTTTGCCTACAATACGTCGGGTCCAGCGTGAATGACGTTCAAAGAACCTGGTATATATATATATATATATATATATATATATAGGAAAAGGAGTAATTCACACACAACGAACGTTTCAGCACAGTTTAGTCCGACGTTTCGACCGTGGGACCGGCCTAATATTGACATATATAAGCGCCCGTGGGACCGGCCTAATATTGACATATATAAGCGCGCGATTTTTATGCCCTGTATTCCCAGACGAAGGCCGGTCCCACGGTCGAAACGTCGGACTAAACTGTGCTGAAACGTTCGTTGTGTGTGAATTACTCCTTTTCCTTACTATCAGAGCCTGCGTGATACTTCCTATAATCCCTTCTATATATATATATATATATATATATATATATATATATATATATATATGAGCAAAGTTACATATTTATTGAAGTATCTTAATACACAATTTGGAAGTATCGTATCCGAAGCATCAATTTATAAGGATCTTGTATTGCGATATAAGTTAAAATGTTTTTTCCCAGCCCTCAATTTTGACAGCATGGGCTCGGTTAGGATGTTCATGTTTTATCTACGGCACACCACAAAACTTGGGCGGAACAGTGTTGTAACAGAGCTTTAATAATAATGAAGCCTTTCAGGGAGCGCGAAGATAACCACACTGCAAGTGAAGAGCAGCGCAAAGAAGTAACACGAGATGAAGAACTACTGGACAGGCGCTGAATGGTATAGGAAGAACGACATGATCGACATCTGTTCGGTCGTTATTCATCTTTTTCTGCTACTTTTTACCTTCGAGGATTAACCAATGAGCCAAGTTTCGCACGCTATCCTCAGAAGAAGCTAGCCAGGCACGTTTCTGACAGGGCTCATGTATATCAAAATTGTAGGGGTGACTTCGAACCTGGGAAGTGGCTGCGTGTGGGCTCACATCTTTGTGGGTGAAGGGTGTGTATCTGAGCAAGTGCTGCTTTTGTCACTGTGTTGAAGATCACGAGGCAGCATCAACGACCGTGAAATCAACCTCTAAGTATTATCCCGAAGCAATTGGAAGTGAACATTTAACGTATATATATTTAGACTTAATTTAGTCTGGACAGCTCATATATTCCTCAAAAGAATGTTTGAGGGCATAATTGCCGCCTGTTGATGAGAATTGCTTAGCGCTTCAAATCTAGAAGGATTTCACACACTGTGAAGACGGGTGCAATAGAGAGCTCTACCTCACTCTGCCCGCGCATGAATTTAAGCGCCTCGACACATACACATAATAAGAAATCTACTATGACCCCTAGTTCACGCTGAAGAATGCGCTTCTACAGCAAGCAAACTTCTCCTGCCGTCAAACGCAGCGTTGTTAGCACTGGACGCGCCCCGCGCCGCCGAACGCAGGTTGGATGCGCTGTCACCCGGTTGTTGTCGCGGCTCGCAAACGCCACATACACTATCCGGTGGTCTGGACTTCGATGATTTCCGTACGCAGGAAGCAAGAAGAAGCAGTACTGCTTACTTTGCTGGCAAATCATTGTCTTGTAATAATGCATGAATAACAGAAAAAAGCACCGGTGGCAGCAGCGTTAGCGGGTTAGTCTAGCTCTGCAAGACCGCATAAGCTCGGTCTCGTCAACGACAAGCTCGGTCACCTCTTTCATGAAATAGGAACGTCAAGTAGGCGCAAAGTGGGTTAAACTCTCGTTGGTTACAGCATTCAGTTACGTGCACTGCGACATGACAAGTGAGTGGGGCTTGGCCTCCATTTTTCATAACTCCTTGACTACAAGTCCTATTGGTCCACGTGGACTGATCCGGTGGCAGACGCCGCAAAAATCAATCCGAGAGCGATCGGCACGAACGGGTCCTTTCCGACGGATCTAACCGCCCCCGAATCGCATTCAGCGCACTTTCGGCGGCCGGAATGCTCAGTGTGAGCGCGCCTTGATTTCGGCGTTTTGTTTGTTTAATTGAACGCATCTGCACACATGCCGCATGTATCTCTCAACATGACGTTGTGGAATAAATAGTTTCCAGTTGCACTTTTGTCGCGCGTGTGTGTTTTTCGTGCTGTTTTTTTTTTCTTTTTTCTTTAATCAAGGATTACACCGCATTGCCCGAAGGCGGCATATCAGGAGGGTTACAAGAGGAAAAGAAGCAAGTTTTCATTATAACAGCATACTTGCAGTTTACCAAGGTGGCTTCACGGCACAATAGTTCGTGAAAAAGAAAGAGCTTGCGAACACGTTCGTACTGGCATGGTACTCACGTATTTTAAAGGGATGGTCATTACGATAAGAAACGTAATGCGGTTGTCATAGATAGTTTTTCTCGCTTCTGATTCCATTCTAGACTTCATTCCATATATGACATATTAAAATATCAGTTTAAACTTTTCCGGTCGAGAAGAAAGCAGTTCTCAGTTCATTTTGCTAAGGCGCTGATGGTATACGACTTGAACACTTTACCATCATAACTTGTACAGTAAATCGTCGCCAAAACTTTCAAATTTAACGAACCAGCGACATTGCAATTGTGTGTCTCAATTCTGATACTTGATTTTTTCTTTTTTTTATTCACGTAGCACAAGTTGCAGACATGATCGAAAATATTACTTTTCAAGTGCTGATTTGATTGATTTGATTGATATGTGGGGTTTAACGTCCCAAAACCACTATATGATTATGAGAGACGCCATAGTGGAGGGCTCCGGAAATTTAGACCACCTGGGGTTCTTTAACGTGCACCCAAATCTAAGCACATGGGCCTACAACATTTCTGCCTCCATCGGAAATGCAGCCGCTGCAGCCGGGATTCGAACCCGCGCCCTTCAGGTCAGCAGCCGAGTACCTTAGCCACTAGACCGCCGCGGCGGGGCGCAAGTGCTGATTTGTTGTTTCTTTCGGCTGGTGAACTGACTTAGATATATATGACTCTCTTCACGTTTTGATAACTATACTGTTTAGAATATGAGCATGCATGTATTTACATGTTTGATGTTGCACTTATGTACTTTTTGTTCAAACTCCCACTTTTGTTGTGCGTGTGTTGCCTTAGAACTAAATTTTTAAAGGCCGTATGGCACACAGTTTTGTGAACAATAAAAAATCTTATTGTCTATTCTTGTCTGTGCTCTTTAGGTAAGACGACGTGAAAATAAAGAAGAGCATCCTCTTGATGTACCATCGAAACTTTCTTTCTCAATAGACAACACTGCATACGGCTCCAAGGTCAAAGAACTCGATTATTCATTGTATCTAGTTGACTAATTAGTTATTTTTATCAATGTTTTCCGGGTCAGCTGTTATCACGAGTAATAGTGTCTGGGTCGTCACGCTCGCTAGATTCGCTTCAGCAAAAAGAAGAGCTCGTTCCAGGCTCAAACTAGATCTTGTTATGACTGGGCGATTACAGCGTTTGTCGAATAAGATACTACTCACTCTCGATCAGGTGGTGATGTGCCTTCTTCCGCAGGAGTAAGTCTTTTGTTATGGCCGCTTCGGAGAGCACCGGTGACTTGAAATGTGCCGACGCCAGCGCGCCACAGCATCCGAGCAACAGGAGGAAAGCGTACGGTGCCATCGTGGCAAGTACGAAGTGAACGGTGCGACTCGGCGCCGCGTTCATTGAGCTCTCTCCTCCCAAGATCAAGGTCACGAAAGCGGACACGGTCGTTTACCTTGGAGGAAGCGCTTGGCCTGGTGCGGCGTGGCACCATTCGCCAGAAACTGCTTCCCCTCGAGCATCCGCTGGGCACCACCTCGCTATGTGTCACGCTACATTTTATCTCATTTATTCTCGTTTGCTCTTTTTGCGAGCATTCCGCAAGATACTTCACGTAGAAAAATCGAAATGTATTTGTTGTGGATAAGTTAATCCAGCATTAAGCTCACAAATAAGTGTTTATTTGTACCCTTTGCGCACAAAAAGAACAATGACATGAGTAGCAAGCTCCAAGATCAAGCAGGAAGCTGTTTATTGAGGCGTTTACATTTCGGCCACAGTATAGTCATTAATAACGCCCAGAATATCTGCACACTGTACTGCCTAGGACACAAGGCACTCTATGGGTGATAGAGAGCAGTTTACCCGATTTTTGGAGATTTATAGCATGCATACATTCGACATACGCTTGACATGCATTGTAATTGCTGCGTAAGCTGTCATAAAATTTTTGGATATTTCGTCACTTGCTTCAACCGTTGTGTCCCCGAAACGGAATAACCACATTACATCTTTGCTAGTGCGGAGTAACTCAGAAAACTGTGCATTGGGTTGGTTTTCCTTTTTTCGTCTTACTTGGTGCCTTTTATGGTTCAGTCAAAAATTTCAAGACTTGCCTCTCGCTAAAATCACTTGTCATTGGCGTATTTTCCTGCAATCAATGCTCGTGACGGTGATAACAGGGACGATAACTAGAGCCCTGCAAGACACTTATCGAGACACTGCACCCACCTTTGGATATGCCATTAGACCCAGGATGGTTCGTATCTGCTGGTGCACCCTCAAAGTAATTTTTTCTCTGCGGCAAAGTAGGCCATATTTTCTAGCGAAAATCACAAATTTATCAGTGATGGTGCCAATCGCTGGCATGCCAGGAGAAATCTCACTCGTATCTGCTATTTTGACGCGAACGCCGTTCCCTTTTTTTTTTTTTTTCAAAATGAATTGCTCCAGCGGATGTTTTCTTCAGCTTCCACTTTCACACTCGCTTCAAAAAAGCCCACTCGAGGTAATGCGCAGTAGGTTGGTATCAATATACACAACAACAGTGAACAGTTCGAAAATTCGGGGTTTTACGTCTCCGAATCAAGATACCATTATTAGAGACACCGAAGTGGAGGGTTCCAAACATTTAGGCCAACTGGTTTTCTTTAAAAGGCACTGATATCGCACAGTACATAGGCCTCTATTATTTCGCCTCCACCGAAATCCAGCCGCCAATGTTGCACACTCTGTTACATGGTATATTCGAACATGATTGCTTCCATGAAGACAGATTTGTTTGCACTCCCAACATGTGCAGGTAACGTTTGTTCGGAAATATTTTGTGGGCTCTGTTCAAACAAAGCGGCCCATCATAGCGTGCGCCTATTTCGTTTCGGGAAGGCTTGAATAGTTGGAAAATTTAGTTTATTTACCGCTTTTATAATGGCAAAGCATTGCAATGGCAAGATTGCCTACGGGACGCGATAACATACAGCTCAATATCCAGTGCCTTCAGTACAAATATGTGTATTCTTTAGTATGGCTGCACAAAGATAATACAACTTTTTACTGTTTTTTTATGTATTGTCACGGGGTCATGACGTTTCGGAAAGAAGCAGTCGGAATGTCCTGAAGCTCTTTGGAAGCACAGAAATATGGGTGAGTTTGTACATAAATGATAATGGTATTTGAGCGCATAACAAACAAGATACAAGAGACAGATCAAGCTGAGAATGGCGCTGAGAACAGACAGGCGGCCCCGCTGCTGTGGTCTAAAGGCTAAGGTACTCGGCTGCTGACCCACAGGTCACGGGATCCAATCCTGGCTGCGGCGGCTGCATTTTCGATTGAGGCGAAAATGCTTTAGGCCCATGTGCTCTGATTTGGGTGCACGTTGAAGAATCCCAAGTGGTCAAAGTTTCTGGAGCCCTCTACTATACGACGTCTCTCATAATCATACGGTGGTTTTGGGACGTTAAACCCCACAAATCATGCAAGAATAAATGAATTGCAGTCACTCCCTCATGAAAACGAATTATGAGAGTCTAATGAGCACCGAATGCACACCTAATGAGTCACTAGATTGACATTAGATCTGCAAAGTCTAATATCACTTAGCATCAGGTGTGCAATGGAGAGTCAGATGACAACATGCTCCAGAATTTTTGGTGATAAAAGTACGCAGATTTTTCATTGCTTGCCCTAATGACAAAACATATCACAACAAATAAATGTGCTTTAATCTTTTATAGCCAAAAAAAGTTAATTTCTGACTACTAAACGTAATGATCGCAGGAATTTTAGATGCCGAAACCATAATACGAATATAAGGAATGCCGTAGCGGAAGGCTTCAGAAATTTCGACGATCTTTGATTTCTTAACGTGCATCTAAGTGTGAGTCGATTTCTTGCTGATCTCAACATTCACGTAGATGTTGTCTCTCGGAAATCTAAAACACTAAACAGTTTGTATTCCCAGTGATGTTTAGATCATAATTCAGTAAATAACACATTGACATCATGAGAGTGTCTTCGTACACATGTTTAAGTGTATGTTAGCTACAGACCATAGAAGCAACATCAACAATAAGAACATTTATAATAATAATAATAATAATCAAGTTCAAAGAAGCCCTTGTGAATTCCAAAAATAAGTTCTTTGGCCAAACGCTTATGAACTTCCTTAAAAGTTCGCCATCCAAATTCTGGCGTTACATCAGTGACAGAAAGGAAGAAATTGAGCAGATCGAACATGAGGACTGTATCCTGACAAAAGTTGAAGACTTAGCAGAAACTTTTAATCGCTTCTTTCAGTCCGTTTTCACAATATACCAGGGCAATGAGATAGGGGCTTCCATCAATAACAGTGCAACAACCGCAATGGAACCTGTTATTATCAACCGCGAAGGTGTCTTTCAGTTACTGCTTGAGCTAGATGCGAAGAAAGCAAGTGCTCCGGATAGCCTACCAACAGAGTTTCTCAAGAGATACGCAGAATGAGTCTCCTTTTATTTATAAATAATATTTGTTAAATCGGTTGAGACGCGATCACTTCCACAAGACTGGCGCAGTGCAGTTGTAATTCCGATTTTTAAAAACGGTAACCGCTCGTTAATAAAATTACCGGCTTGTATTCTTGACGTCGGTTTGCTGTAAAGTTCTGGAACATGTATTGGCAAAACATATTCTTTGTTTTCTTCATTCTAACCATTTACTTTGCGCAAGCCAACATGGGTTTCGGCATGGTGTATCTACAGTGACACAATTAACTGAAACGCTCCATGATTTCAATAAAAACAGCGATGCCCTTCTGCAGACTGATGTAATTTGTGTCAATTTTAGGAAAGCCTTTGATAAGGTCTCTCATCGTAAATTACTTTTCAAGCTTGAAAGATCAGGAATAAGCGAAGAAGTATTAAAATGGATAGAGGCATATTTATCCGCACGACAACAGGCTGTAAAAATTGAAAATTAACCTTCAAGACCACTGGCCGTGTACTCGGGCGTTCCCCAAGGATCTGTTTTAGAACCAATTCTTTTTCTGATATTTGTTAATGATCTATGTTCAATAGTTGAGGCTCCCAATTAAATGAAACTTTTTGCAGATGACTGCTTGATTTAATCCCCAGTTACTTGCGAAGGTGACCAAATTAATCTGAACAGGTGCTTACAGGCATTAGATCAGTGGTGTATAATATGGGACATGGAAACGAACTAAAGCAAGACGACACATACGCATATTCACTCTAGTGGGCGGGAATTGTCATTCATGTATATCATCGGAAGTCACCCTTTAAATAATGCCGACTGTTTCAAATACCTAGGAGTTAGTATTATGCACACATTGAAATGGCACTCGCATATCGATAACATGTGTTCTAATGAAAACAAAAAACTGTATTTTCTAAAAAAACTGCAACATGCCACACCAGATGTAAAACTAACTGCTTACAAAACATTCATACGTCCTGTCTTAGAGTACGCTAGTATTGTATGGTCGCCTCACCAGAAGGTGTTGTGGACAAAAATTGAAAGAATACAAAAATTAGCAGTCTGTTTCATGTGCGGTAGATACCTACGCACACACTCAGTCACTGCTTTGTTAAAGTCCTGTGAGCTTGAGTGTTTGGAATATCACAGGCAAAAACATCGCCTCAAATTTCTTTTTAAGAATATAAGCGGGTAAACAAAGATAAATAAGGATTTATATATTCAGCCCTCTGGAAGGCGATGTTATCGTCTTAATAATAGTAGAGCAATTCAACCTTTTTCCTACGCACGAATGTTTTCTGCCACTTCTTTTTCCCAGACACAATAGGTATGTGGAAAAGTTCACCCAATGCGGTTGTTTAACAAACAACATCAGTGGATTTTGAAAATGCATTGGACGGTTTTCTTTGCAGTGACGCATGCTAAATTCTGTTATCAGCATTTATTCATTAATTTTTATGTGTATAGTCACTGCTGTTTGTTTCTTAATTTTCTGTTGTAGGTTATTCATCTCGTATTTATATGTGCTTTTGAATTTTCCTTTTTGTGCGAACATTATGTACTTTGTGACACCCTCCCTATAATGACACCAAGCATGGGGTTGACAGTATAAAATAAATAAATAATAATTATAATAATAATAATAATAATAATAATATAATAATAATAATAATAATAATAATAATAATAATAATAATAGTATATATTATTGTTGTTATCATGAAATTATTATTATTATTATTATTATTATTATTATTATTATTATTATTATTATTATTATTATTATTATTATTATTATTATTATTATTATTATTATTATTATTATTATTATTATTATTATTATTATGCTGAGATAAACGTGCGAGAAGCGCGGTATAGAGGCAAACTTTATT